TTTTTATGTACGAGAAATTATTTGTCTCCCTCCATATCTAGAATGTGAAAGTTAATACAACCAGGAAAACAAAAGTGTTTTTTTATTATTATTTAATTTTTCTTTATCAAATAATCTCGGAGATATCTGAAGTTTATAAAATGGTGCTCAAATCGAAATTATATTGATTTAAACGCTTCTAAAGAGCTCTTATAATTCTATCGCAGAGTTCTATCCGATATTCTCGGTTTCAAGTGAATGTTTACTTAGCCGTTTTTCTTCTGTCACAAAAAATTAAATTCTTGCCTATGGTAACGAGAACACAATTTTTAATTTTTGGCATTCAAAAATGTATAAATAGCTTCAATAAATTCTGAGCCGTTTCTTTACTCTCGCATTGTGATGAGGCTGGTGGTAATGACCTTGGCAATCGATATTTTATTGCAAGAAAACTTAAGTGCTATTTAACGTGTTTGGTACATGTTTACTTGGAAAAGGAACTAATAAATTATGACTACATTCGCGTGTAGATCCTCTTCAGATTTTTTGTGCGGTTAGCGAAAACAGGTTCTAATGTAGATCTTTTGTAAAAACGAAGTGGCGTAAAGAGAACTTTCGAAAAGCGGGGGATACCCGTGTTAATAACTAGTTTTTAAAAAAAATGTAAATGTCCGAGAGAAGTCGAAATGGATATAGTCTGGAAAAATGTGCTACTTGCAGACAATAATAATCGATCGAAACTTGGATATATTATACCTACGTTCTTCGTAAATAAAAAAAGAATATAAAATACAATATAAAATACAATTTTTGTCAAAATTGCGACTCTCTCTCTCTTGGAATTATCTACGCTGCTTTTACTTTTCCTCTTGTCGCTCGTGTTCTCTGTGTTGTCCTCCTATCTGCTCGACCAAGAACGAGGTGACTATCAATTAGTAGTAATTAACGCGGGATCAGTGGCGCTCGCGATTGAGTCTGGGCCAAACGTGACATTGCTCCCTGATGACATCTTTCCAGCCGCTTCTCGACTTGTCGCGCGCGCATATACTTGGCGCTAATTAGTGACGCATAATAACCTATAATATACTATGCCAGATCGGGCAGACTAAAATATGATATGCCATCATTTCTGGGTAATTACAAAATTATTTGAATATTATTAAACATGAAAACTTTTATTTTTCTACTATTTTTTTTACTGTTTTTTTCTTGTTTTTCTTTTCTCTCATCATGAAATTATGATCATGGCTATGTCGATGTATTACATCGAAAAATGATAGATATCTAAAATCATAAAAGTAATGCTGTTTATACATGCTAGCACTGATGATATTTTTATAGACGTATCTACTCCCACGAACGTAAAAAAAGAGTTCAAGGATTACGAGCGTATATAGATATCGCGAAGCGTGGGTATTTCTTACGGAATATGTTATAGGTATTCGAAAAATATGATAGAGTTATTCGGAAAATATGTTAAACAGTTTTTATCGAATATTTATTTTTACTTTTGCTATTAAACGATATTCAAGTCTAATTTAATGTAGATTAGTAGATTAATCTTGCGGCAAGTCGATCCAGTCGATATGTTTATTTCTTCGATGTTACGTAAAAGAACGGAATTATCTTATATTTATTTTTGAAGATAGAAGCTTTAACGCGCACGGTTGAAGCAATATTTTTCGCCATTTCGCGAGTATTACGTATTCCACGAACGATACTTCGCATTTTAAGATATATCCTGTACATAAGTGGGTAGAGAAGCGACTTGCCTCGCGACTGGATGGATAGTTCGTGTTATCTGGATTATCATTATCCTTACGCCTCTCTGCGCGATCGACGTGAAATACAACGTGCAAGGTGGATACGTACGAGATGAAATCTCGCGAGTATGATCGCGCCGATCGAGGTGGAATCCAAGTGGTATCCAAGCAAGTACTGTGTACCTTGCGTGGATACGTATAGGTATACACGGCGTGTACTTTACGAATGCCGGATCCGCGCGTATCAAAGGTGCTCTTCGTGCTTGTATTTATTCGTAGACTCGATCGTATTTTACGCGCGGACAGGATTGAGGCTCTTGCCAAGTGAGCGCCAAGGATGCGTACTAGCGAATACATATAACAGCAGTACCATCGGCATAACAAATAAATTTTCTACAGGAGTATAAACAAAAAAAGAGAATCTTGCAATATAGATAAAAGCTTGCTTAAATCGATACTTGTTTGAATTTGATATATAGAGCAGTCGATACATTTGGTATGTGGCAATAAAAATTGAAAGACTGCATTTCTCTATATTTTCTTCCAGACTTCTCCATTCTCCAGTAAAATTATTTATTAATTTATTTACGATATAAAAATGATTTTGTATAAATAAGCGGGTCGTGATTTTAGAAACGATATAAGAAAGAGTTCAATTTTATTATAAGATATTATAAATTCTAGTAAACTGCAGACGTGAATGGTACGTTCATTCTTCAGCAAAATTTTAAAAATTAATTTTCAGAAATTACTTGTATTATTTTACGTTATCGGATCAGGTTTATTGAGTGATTCGTAAACTTTTGCTATACTTGTTTATATCTTATTTTTATCTTAATTTTATTAATACCATTCTAGTGACATCTTTAGCATTTGAGCACAAATCGTAAGCACGAAGGCGTTTTGAATATTTATCAATATACAACATCCGTTACGATCCACCTACATTTACGTCCGATCGAGCATAAGTTATTTTAATCGTGGCGCTCTTCCTGGAGAAGTGACGCGGGAAACCATTTTGGGAGATCGCATCGCAAATACGAGAGCCGAATTAATTACAAATGTTAGGATTATCACGTGGGCGGGTAACCATTAAGGTGTTGAAACCGGATTCTGCTGTTGGTCGAAAGAGCGATACATTAATCTGCACACGTGATATATGCGCGTGCGGGTTTATACAGGGTAGATATACAATATTATAGTATCTTGTGACGCAATATGAATTCGATCGTTTTGATAGTGGTTCATTCGAGGAACTCCCTTGTACCTGGAGGCAGCTATTAATCGGTAACGTTATCCAAAACGTGATTTTAACATAATCTGATATCGGAAACACGCAATTATATCTACAATAGAAGAAACAAAGATGTTGCGGAAATATAAATATTTTAGAAAATTAGAAAAAATGTAGAAATTTTATGTATAAAAAGAATTTGTTCCAGCTACGTGTAGAAAAAAGTAAGCGCACATGCTTCGAAGCATCATTCGATTTCTGAACAATCGAATCTAAGGGCAAAAAGAGATGTACTTTACGAGAAATCTAATAAAATTTGTTGCAATAACACCCGTACGGAAAGATATATACGCGACGATGCCGAAGGCGCTGTGATTTCCGCAAATAATATTCTTCCTTAGCACATTCTCTCTCGAATCGTGGGAACTCTCCGTCCAGCATCGTGCGTTTACCTGCCATGCAACCATCCATATTTGACTGTCTGCGAAAACGCGCTCTAGCATTCTTCTAACCGTTCAGCCCGATCGGATTCGCGTTCGATTCTCGCATTATTCGATTTCCTTCTAACTCCCAGATCTCTTAAAATACCACCTACTTTGTTGCTCGAAGCCCTACATTCTTTTATTCGCCTCACGTACAAACGATAAAGCCTTGGATAATAGGAAATTATGAAAAAAACTCATAGTAAGTTCATCGCAGTACCATTTGCGAAATTTTTTTTATTGGTAGCCCAGAAAAGCCCCCGGGAAACTTGATTATAAAATTGCTAGATGTAAGATTTGCTTTTATTCCTGATTTATTTTAATAATATACACGGCTAGTTGTAAGTCAAATGGAGAATTAATTCAGGTTTGCACGACTATTTATTATTTTTCTTCCAATTCTTCCTATAAGAACTTTGCAACATACAGCACGACGAAGCCCGCCATAAAACATGGATCACAGTCTCGTTCCCCTGGCTTCCTCGAGCCGGCAAGGTCACATGATTTCTTTTTTTTTTTGCCTTTCATCTCTTATCTTTCATTCCTGAGTAACAAAACGTGTTTAGTAGTTAGTTCGGATGATCACATTTGCTCTCGGTAAAGCCTGGTGATGGGCGTAGCATATGTGGTGTCTGTGGCTAATCGTGTCGAATCGCTAGTAATGCGACCCGTTAATTGTTTCGCACGATGCGTGCAACGATCTCGATGCTGGATCATTTGCCGCGTTTATTGGAGATAATTATCGTACCGCGCATCCAAACTGCTCGTGTATTAACGGATTACGTAATGCATTTTGGTCGTGCAAGAATTTCATTCGTGACCATATCGCATTGCACCTCGCGCACAAACACAATCGGATGATTGGAATGCCATTTGATGAATATCTATCGTACGGTATATACATGTGCCGTACATTTCATAAATACCTAATGGTAAAATATAATATAGTTGAAACACGTAAAAATTCTCTTTTATCATAAGAATATCTTGAGATCTGATTTTTTAAGCGATTTTAAGTTAAATGTAATTTTATAATTATTATATGGATTTGTGTTTTATCTATAAATATTATTTGACAACAAATATTACTATAAAGAATTATATATATAGATCCCGTTTGATAACTGAAAATGTTAATATTTTTTATGTGCAATTATTTTTATTTAAGATAATAGTCATTTCTTTAATTTTACAATAATAAAAACGTTTACGATTTGAATCTCGTGAAACATATTTCACGTAAACGTTCTTAACACGAGTTAGTTCCGTCAATCAGTACAGCAAATTGAACAAATGAAGTAACAGCAATTGCGATTGGAACAATTTCCTATGACAGTCGATTTCCTTCTTCCACGCAATTATCTCGTCGTCTTTTTCAATTTTTTTTTCTTTTTTTTCGATCGGAGATACACGTTCTAGATATACGAGGCGGGAAAGATTCTTTAAGACCCTCTCTTTTTCTTTTTCTGCCGCGCCACGATCCAATTACCGTCGGACTCACGCGCCCATTAACGTGATGCGTGCTCTGTTTTCCTGTTCCAGTCACAACCATGGTATGACACTTGATTGAGGTAGCCAGTCCATAAACGACCACCAACCGCTGCCGCCGCCATGAGCAAGCTATTTCAATTTCTGGCCCTCCTCCTGTTGGGTGTCAATGCCAGACGGACCGACGGAGACAGACCTGCGGATGACGCGCACGTCGGCCAGCAGCGTCGCGGCTCCCTCCACAAGTCGAATTACAACAGCAATAATAATTACAATCATCAGCCGAACTCGCCCTATTTGCCGCACCAGCAGCCCAGGGAGCGGAAGCCCAACATTGTACTGATTCTGACGGATGATCAAGACGTTGAACTGGGTTCGTAGCGACGTACAGGATTACTCGAGCCTCTCGGAAGCTGAGATCAACTCCGATCAACTCCGCCTTCTGTAAATTTCTTAATTTCAGTAGCAGAGAGCATATTAGTTTGTTATCTCATCAACTTTCTCTATCTTTTATTTCGTGGAGTCGATCAGTTTGATTTCTAAGAGACTCATTTATCGTCGGTGTATAAATGCCTACGTAGAACACAAAGTTCACTTTGTTTATTGCGGCAGCCTGCTGGCGCCTTATCTCGCCATCGCGATATTATAGTCTCAGTCCTTGCGAAGGCCCGCTTCGAGATATCGCGACACGTATCCGAAGAGAAACGCGTGCAATATGCAATCTTATCTGTAACGCCGCACAGAACATTACGTGTATTTATTTCATTAATTTGTCCGCTAATATCGAAGCAGACTTACGGGCGTTTACGAGCAACGCTTGAAATCTTCACCGACAGATATTTCGAACGGTGTAAAATCGATTCCTTCCTTCTTTCTTTTCAGAACACGAAATTTCAAAGAGAAACGATGTCGTCCTCAATTTTCAACGAGGTTAATTAAGAGATTACCGAAATACAATTCAAATTTAACGAAAAGTACGTGCTTTATCTTTGTTTTATCGATCTTATAATTCGATAATAATTGATATTTTATTATGGAAAGTTTACGAGTCGAAATATAAATTTTATATGATTCATATATAGGTAAAGACCGTATAACCTGTGTAATGAGCATAGTTCGCATTCAGCATAATAAACAGAGCATATTGCACCAAGCCGGCAAGCGATTAAGCGACTGCGGGACAATGGACGTGTCTATATAGATTAGCCGAGTACATGTTTGACCGTATCCAAAATGGTCGTTTTGTATCCATCGCAGGTTCGCTGAACTTCATGCCACGGACTCTGAAGCGAATAAGGAACGAGGGCGCCGAGCTGAGACACGCGTACGTGACCACTCCCATGTGCTGTCCGAGCAGGAGCTCTTTGCTCACCGGTCGTTACGTTCACAATCACGAGGTCTTCACGAACAACGACAACTGCAGCAGTCCCCAGTGGCAACGAGATCACGAACCGCACTCCTTCGCCGCTTATTTGAGCAACGCGGGATATCGGACAGGTAAGAGAGTGGCTCATCGTTCATCCTGTAAACCCTGGTGGATGATTACAGAGATCTCGCACTTCGCGAAGAATCGCACGCACGCAAAGCATTTAATGATATTATTGCAGTGTTAAAAACGAGACATTTTAATCCTATCACGTGAAACTTTTTTCCGACACGTTTCTCGGGTTGAAAATCGAACTTTTTCCATCTTCAACGTTAAATATTTTTTCCGATAATTAAATTTCCGTTTAATTCGAAACTACCCTAATGCTATAAAACGAAAGCGGAATGATATTAAATGTTAATAAAGCTGTCAGTCATTAAATTATAATTATTCGAAAATTCTGCAAGAGAGAGAAAATCAAAAATAGCTTTTTGATATAGAGCTATTTATTCAATGCTGCTACATTTATTACTGGCGCGATATGAAGAGAATAGACGCGTTATTATCCATTGCATTGTAACGCACATAACTCGACCTTTGGCCGTACAAACGCAATCAGGATAATCGAGGCACGTTCAATTGAGAAGTGAGATTTCTATTTACCTCCCTATGCCAGCACAATGCGCTTTATGCGTAACTGGAGTCAAGTACGATTAGCGATAAATCCTCGTTACATAGGTCGACCCGAGCCACTTAGGCCGGGATTTTCAATCAGAATAGGTCGAAACCTTGCTTTACTTTTTTCCTTTTTTTCCCCCTCACGTCGCGCACATGAATCAACGTCATCGTAGCAACATCTTCCACGATACTTATTCGCGCGTCGTTTTAAGCGAAGAGGCAAGTCGACGTCCCCTATTTACATACGGATGCTGCACCCCGCGGGCGGCGTATTCCCGCAATTAAAATCTCGATTAATCCGCTCCCTCCCCCTCTCTCTGTTCTGCTCCCGACGTTTCCGTGCACGACATATACCGGCGTCCCGCAATTTTCATTCCGTGCAATCGGTCGCGCCGAACACGGCAATGCATTCCCACGAAATTCCCGAGGCTTAATTCCACCAAGCCGCGGGTTTCGTCCCGCGCGATTGTTCGGCGAGTGTTGCAGGCTCCCTCCCTCCCGCAACCTCCCATCCCGTCGGCGGCGAATCTTGCCGTGATTTCTCTCCGGAGGGCCAAAAACGGTTGTAACGTGCACGTAACATCGCACCTGCGCCGCGACGCGATCGATCGGCAACTCAAAATCCAAATGTTCGATCGCGTCGATTGGGACTCGGACTTCTCGCATTAATCACCCGCAATTCCGCGGATATTCGTTCAGCGTGGCTCGAGTTACATCCGCAAATTCGCGACTGCGTTTCGATATGAGATCCGATCTAAATATCGACTACATGGGTAATTGTTTGTTCTTTTCGAGTGACGTTTCGGTACATGCTACACGCATATTGCATTGGTAATTTATGTGATTTGCTACTTGATAGTTTATAGATCTCGCTGAATGTTAACTAGGGGCAGAATCTTAATTCTTTGCTTACGAACTTAACCAACACGGAGAAAATTTTATAGTAAATATTACTATGGTGTCGCACTAGCTGCGGACCATCGAGGAATTTTAAGTTAAATTACTATGTTTATGGTAAAAATTACGTTATTTTATCGTTTTTAAAACAATAATTATAGTATTTTAACTTAAAATTCCTCGATGGTCCGCAGCTAGTGCGACACCATAGTAATATTTACTATAAAATTTTCTCCGTGAATTTATTTCAGATCATGACCCGTGATAAGACGTTACTTGTGCTAGATTATACCCGCGGCAGCATACGGACTGCAAGCAAAATTCGCTGTGTTCGTCGACTTAGCGCAACATCTCGACATGATACCCGATGATATTAATGTGCTCTAATATAACGGATAGATGCATCAGTTGCGATGCTGCATGCCTCGTCGCAGCATCGCACTGATCGAGAGGCACACGAACGTAATAGAATCTGTTCTCCACGGTAGATATCGCGGGTTGTACCACGTTATATTGCATTGCCATCGACGATTTCTCTTATCGCTAAAAGACGTCATAAAACGCGTTAGCGTGTCCGCGATGTAAAGAATTCTTGATGGATCGTAAAACGTTGCAGCCACCTGTCGCGAGCTTGTATGGAATAAATACCGCATTTCTTTTTCGGCGAGAAACCTGAATACATCAGAACTCCATTGCGCTTATGTATGTGACAACGATTTGTACCTTCAGAAATCCGATACTTATTTCTAAAATCCTATTTCAAAAAAGATTGGTTAATTGCGATTTAACTGATTCTCAATACATTTCTAGATTCTGTCTAGAAAGGGGGTCAGAGAGAAAATCAATTAAATTCTAGTTAATTGATGTTGCTGAAACTGAGCCGGATGGGAAGAATGCAACGCGACGGTATACATATATTCTGAGGCTCAAGGGAGGTAAAAATCTCGCGATCGCTGAGGCCGATCGGTGCGCTCGCTCGCCGATGTCGGACCTCGCACAGACGTTCGGGCAAGAGAGCGGAATCTCTTCTGTTTCTTCTTGTTCGTCGGCATCTTCCTTTCCGTTCGCGACCATATTCGCGTAGACAGGACGTTGCTCCCTGAAAGTGCAGCCAGCCAGCCAGCCAGCCAGACTCCTGTTTCGTCGATCGAACCATTCGCCTACATCCGGCACGATTGCTACCATTGGCGATCTTCCAAAATTCGCGTACACAGCGTATTCCTCTACTTCCGGCGCAATGTCTGCATCGTCGAGATAAGGCTTCATCAGGATAAGAATCGCCTGAATCGCGGCCGGAGGTGAAAGCGCGGCTAATTGTCGCGATAAGCCGCCCCGTTTTATGCTTCTCTCGAGAATGATCGCTTATGACATAACATTTCTCGCTTGACGAGCTCGTACCTTGCCCCTAGCATACGTTTCAGTCCGATGGCCCGTGAAACTCGTCCCGATACAACAAATCTTGCATGACCTGATTGAATCGGGCCTTTTTTAGTTCAATCTCGCGCTTTCGCTAGATACTTGCATAATATTATGCAGGACGCAAAATGTTGTTAATTTTATCAAACGCATGTTAATATGCAAGAATTAAAAAAAGTATAAATATATAATTTTTATTTAAACCAGACTCAATCCAGGTAGGTAGAAGGTAGCAAATTTTTATGTCATATAGACAGAAAGTTGAATTGGGAGAAATAATTTCATATAGTAACATATTATACGTGTACTTAACTAACTTTATTTAATTACCTTTTTAAACAACAATACAAAAGTATTTAGTCTAGAATCATACCACGATCGTAAAGGGAAAATTATAAGTAACAAAAGGTGCTCGTTTAATTCGTTCGGAACCTTATAATTTTATTTTATAGCATGTGACATTTAAAGAATGTTCAACTTACCGATAGTCGAAATGATCAGGGGCATGATCATCCCGAACTCGCAAAGGAACGTGTTTCGCAAAGTACTGATCGATGATCGTGCTTTAGGGAAAGGAAAGAACTTGTTTTGTTATCGCTGCCTGTGTTATGCAGGGTGTCCCTGACCAGAATACCGGGACTGGTTGGCCAGGCGACAAATTTTCTTTGTTATCTTCGCGAGAGAATCTTGTCGCGAGCGAATACGTTATTCGACATCACCATTAAGGTGCGTTCGTGACTTTGGAATTTGACGAGTAAAGATGTATGCTCGTTAAATTATTCTAAAAATGTAAAATACAAAAAAAAACACAAGAATTAATTCGTAATTGATGAGCAAACGATATTTTCTAAAGTTTATATTTCTATTTATATATATTTGTATTTATTCAACATTCGTATTTTCCTGGTTATATCAACTTTCACACTCTAGACGGAGGCAGACATAAATAATTTTTCGTACACAAAAGAAATACAAACAGTACTTATTTAACATTATTATTTTATATAAGGAATTTATTTATTATTATTTAATATAAGGAATATTTTTTGTTTCTGGACTTTCTATCTTTTTTACCGAATACAACATAATATTTGGAAGGTAGGGCTTTGCACAGCTTGCCTCAATAAATTGAAATAAACATAAACGAAAAAATTAATTATAATCCGGGAAAAATAGATCCGAGTTCACCACCCGAGTCGCTTTTGCAAGATAATGATTTATGTTTGTTTTAATTTATTGGTGGGGCAAGCATGCGCAAGCCCCACACTTCCAAAAATTAATCCATGAATAGTGAAATACATACATATCTTCTGTCTATTATAACCTATCGTGTGTATTTTTGTATACGAGAAATTATTTATGTCTAACTCCATCTGGGGTGTGAAAATGACACGATCACACATACACAGGAAAACACGATTGTTGAACACAACGAATGTGCTGTCTGGTTGACAAAACTAACACATAAATATAGTCGAGTCCACAAAGTGTCCATCCATAAACACTACGAAACTGCGTAGTCAAGAAAAGAAAAATGGACCCGAGTTTACCGGTAGTAAGATAATGACTTATGTTTGTTTCAATTTATTGGTGGGGTAAAAGCAAAGCTTGTAAAGCCCTACACTTCCAAAAAATAAGATGTTCCTGTAATATAAAATATATATACATACATTTCATTTATCTTCTATTATAACCAATTGTGTATATTTTTGTATACGGGAAATTATTTATGTCTAACTCCATTTAGAGTGTGAAAGTCGATGTAATTAGGGAAAATATATACTGAAATAAACTGAAATGAACGTATACATATAAATAAATTTACATTTATACCGAATATTCAAAGTTTACTTTTCTATCGTCGATGAATTTTCTAACGAACAATAAATTGAAATCCTTTCTATTAAAAGACTGATTTTTAAATCTGAACATCAATATTTTAATGCACAATAAATATCTCTCTGTTAGAAGCAATTATGTCTATAATTCTATTCATAAAATAAAGTAAATATTTCTGTGTCAAAGTGAAATCTACTTGAACTCGCTGATAAGTTTTATCGTATACTTTATATTATTTGTAGTAATCTCTAAATATGCGATTGTTTATAATTCCAAAGGTCTTAAGGTGGCCTGATATTCC